TATGATGAAATACATCAATTTATTTACATGATTTGCAGGTCCATAATTTTTGTTCCATGTTTCATACATGGTCTGTTTAAAACGTATGTAACTTTAGAACCAAAAATGGTACAGAAAAAAGGTAAACAGTTTCATAAACTAGAGTACATATGCTATATTGGCCTTGCTGTTTACCTTCTGCTTGACCAAGCCCACAGCACCCTGCCCTCAATCTGAATACAAATATATAACCTAATCAAGTTCTGTGTATGGAACCTATATGTAAGGGGTATTGATTAATAATGATCAAAGTGACATTATTTTCAAGTATCCTAAATGATAATAAAACTGTTTCAGTAATCCAACTGAAATGAGCTAAAATTATGTCTTTAAATGACGTTTGTTTGTTTTTTTTAATAATAGTTTTTTTTTTTTTTTATGAGATTTTGTTTTTATTATACACTATATACCCAATATTCAAATTTGGCATATCCTCAGAACAACATTCATGACTGACAGCCCATTCAGCCCAAATTCAAAGTTCAAAGATGGATCAGTTTATGTTTGTGAAGGTCACCGAGGTCTTATTGAGTTCCACCTCAAACGCTCTCAAATCCACATCTCGAGGCACGCACACACATACACATACTCCCAGTGCAGTAAGGATGCAGAGGTGTGACTTGGACTTTCCTCTTTTTTTATTCCCCGGAGCAAACAGCTCGAGCCTGGGCTGAGGTGATAAGTGGCCTGGATCAGCAGACGCTCTACGGACTTCCACATATTTACTGTACCTCAGAAAACTACGCATTCATCCTCGTAATGACATACATTCATATACTCGCTCATACATAAATGCATATCGGTGATGTTTAATGCATGCACAACCAAGTCTGTCTATAGTGGGGTACTTTAACACACATGTACGCCCCCTTCAAAGTGAGAATTATAAACTGTCAGGTCACGGCATGTCCCCATAGAAGGGTCATTGCTTTTTCTGGCATGTCCCACAGTATAGCGTTTAATTTCTCTTTCTTCACGAAGACAAACAGGTCAGGTACGAGGAAAAGTTAGAATTCAAATTTGTGGAGAAGCAAGCTCGATCACAATAAAAATATTTTTTTCCCCTGATAGATTTCTGCATAAACATTCACACTCATTTTCCCAATTTGAAATAAAAGCAGAGGTGGGAACTTGCCAGTTGTGACTTGGACTCAAATCAGACTTGAGTCACTATTTTTACAACTTGAGACTTGACTTGATGAAATGGACAAAGGCTTGGGACTCGACTTGGAATTGAAGATTAGTGACTTGGGACTTTACTTGGACTTGAGGCCTGTGACTTGAGAAGACTTGAGAAGCACTTTTAAATCTGAATTCCTTCTATTTTGACCGTAATGATTCACACTAAGATCTTGTCAAGACATTTAAAAATGAAAAATTACATAAATACATTTCTTCAACTCTTATATATTCTATAAATACTCCATGATATATACATATACCATGATTTTTTATGTAAAGTTTAGTTTAAGTCATATGAATTGAAATTATGTCAAGTCAAGTGCAAGATGACTTGGACTTGACTTGGACTTAAAAGCCAGAGACTCGAGACTCGACTTTGACTTGCCTGTATTTGACTTGGGACTTGACTCGGACTTGCAGTCAAAGACTTGAGACTTACTTGACACTTGCAAAACAACAACTTGGTCCCACCTCTGCTCCCTAGTGTGATGCCATCAGTGTATTTAGAACTCTTCACATTCTTCAACTTGCTTCTTCATTTGTGTAAAACTATAATTTATATTTACGGTAGTTATAATCTCCCCAAATTAAGTTTAGTCTGTTACTTTTGTTCATTTCTAATTAGCTTGCATTTTTCTTTCCTTCACTAGTATTTTATTTTATAAGTTTCCTGAAGTTAAAATTTCATAACTTTGTCATATGTTTGGGAGTTGTTTCTGTTCAGAGCTTTGGACTTTTATGTTGTATTTTTGTTTTTGTTTATGAGTGGATGGGGATGCATAGACAGACCTGAATGTGCTTGAAGATTGTGGTTTGTAGATATTGGATTTGCACAGTGTAAACCACACACCCTTGGCGCATCTAAGTTATTTTTTGAGAAACACTTTGGCTAGTTTTCTTTGACAAGTAGTTTTTACCATGAAAGAGAGAAATTTTGTGTTTTTTACCCTGCACCTCCCTATAGCCCCAGCTGTGTAGAGTGTGCAACTTGACATCTAATCAGCATTCTATCCATGCCTAAGAGCTAACAACATACAGACCGACAAGCCTTGAGCTTAAGTGGTATCATCTTTGCAGAAAACGGTTGAGACCAAGTTTAGTTTTGTAGTTGAATACGGGTCGATAGGATGCATGTTCTGCTTGGAGCTGTCTCAGGGCGACTGCACACATCACGACTGCACTGGTAGAGAGAAAACATGCTCTAATACTGTGTTTGTGTGTGCGCATTTGTGTATGTGTGCGTATATGAGTGTTTGTGTGCGCGCATGTGTATATGTGTGTATATGAGTGTGTGCGTGTGTGTGAGGTCTATTCTGCCGCCCCAGAGCTCGCCACAGAAAGGAATTTGCACTTGATTTGACTTTATTTAATTTGAAAAACTATTACCATCCTCTGACAGTGTTTGGACGTCTAACTGGGAAATTGCTGTTAGAACGGTTGGTTAAGTGAGTGATTTTAATTATTTATAAGATTGCTTTATTCACCTGAGAACCAATAAGGAACCAAACGCTCCAAGTAACAGAATGTCAAGATGTTTTATTTATATATATTTTTTGGAGTTAATCAAATCCAAATCCTCAAAGTAGCCATCGTTTGTTTTTTTTTCTTTACTAAATATTTTCATCTATCTTGCTTCATATACCTGATATATTTTGTGTGTAGAAATGTGTAAGTAATTTTTTATTTTTATTTTTTTTAATTGAACGAGTGTAGCCAAACTTTTGACTGGTAGTGTATGTTTTTCAAATAATCCACAGAATATTTTTTTTGGTCATAAAATTCTATTAATGCAGTGTTTCCCAAAGACTGGGTCACAAGAGATTTTTTTTTGGGGGGGGGGGTCGCCTTGTCACGATCTGCATGTAGGTCTTCAATATACAGGGCTCCATTTAATGTCCAAATATTTATGGATACCTCTTATTGTTGATTCATTGACTGTTTTTCATTGTTTAAAACTTGAGTAATACTAATTGTTTAGAGAGACACAATCACTCAGTCAACTTTATTTTGTGACATATGAATAATGTCTACTGACTTGGGTCGTGAAGGTTTGTGACTTTTAAAATATGGGTCCCCAGAAAAAAAGGTTTTGGGAAACACTGCATTGATGAAACCAGACTTATCATGTGAAATTGATTTGAAATTGTATGGCTATTTTAGTGACTGACACAGAGTTCAAAGATATAGACAAAATATACAATCTATTATAACCTGAGCGGATTAAATATGCTTCTAATTATAAACTAATGTAAGTGGCTACAGATTACATAAAGCTAGTTAAAGATGCATTACAGAACTTTCCTGGTGATGCCACAGAAAGTTATTTGCACTTGATTTGAGTTTATTTAATTGGAAAAATATTAACTATGTTTGGACTTCTAACTGGGAAATTGCTGTTTGAATGGTTGGTCAAGTGAGTGATTTTAATTATTTATAACACTGTTTCATTCACCTGAAAACCAAGAAGCTAAACTAAGAAGCAACGGCACCAAATTACAAAATGTTAAGTATACTTTTTCGACGTTGTATGTATATATGGAAGGTTGCTTTTTTTCCTCAAAGCTTGTCCTGTGATTGTTAATTTGTAGTGTCTTTTAACTCTGTATTCACCAATTGTTGTCTGGGCTTGCTTTTAATTTGTCTGAGTAGCTTAACTGGCTTTAAACATCACAAATGTCAGATGCCCTAAACCAATGGAAAACATTTCGATTTGCTGTTGTAAAGAATCTACTCAACAAGAAACAGGAGACAACTTACCTGGTTTCCTATTTAGTGAAGATGTGGGTGTAAAATCGAGGAAAGAAAATGGCTTTCCTATAGCAAACTCAAACTTTAAATTCGAGAAAGAAAAGACCTTAACCTACCTTTGAATTACATCTTATTAAAGTTTGTAGAGGTGCACAATGTTCTTAATAATGACATTTAGTTTTCATATCCCTTAGTCAATCATAGTTCAGTCTGCATAATTGGGGAAACGTCTTAGATAAGGGTCCTGAGGTCTTATATAAATATAATTTATACAGCGTTCGTATATACAGAAATGTTATGTATATTACTTTCGAGTTTGTGATCTATAAAAAGAGGAAATGTGCGGACCTGTTCAAAAACCTTGAACTTTGTATGTTTGGCTTTCAGGGATAAAAAAGGCAAAGACAATCTGTGCTCAGAGTATGGATACATCGATACAATACTGGTATTGGATATCAACGCCAGTATTGAAATGTTTGATGGACTAGATATTGGTATTGATTGATATCGATATCCCATTTTGTTCTATAAATTGGTGTAATGATATACTTGCAAATGTTTGTCTAAAACACTCCGTAATAGCTGCTCTGTAATATTTTAAATGATAAATAATAGTTACAAAACACATTTGGATGATTTTTACCATACACTGTTTGTGTTTGGAGGAAATTAAACATGTTTTCAGTCTCAGCAGTAGTATCAGTTGATGTTGTGTATTAGCAGATAAAGTATCGACATCAGTATTGAAACAGAAGATGCTGGATTGGTACATCCCTAGCTCAGAGAGATGTAAAGTGAGTGAGTTTGAGTGAGTTTGGGTTGTGTCCTTGCATACACCGAGATGACTACCCATGAAACCTTTGTTACAAGTCAATTTAGCGCTGCACTGGAGAGTGGTCTCGCTAATTAATAAAAGACCACACAGAAAGCGGACTCATAAACACCAGCAAAGCTATGCATCGTGTCTAAGCAGCTTGTGTAGTGTTGTGTGCCTGAAATTAGCTGTGTGCTGTGTGTGTATTGTATCTCACCAGTTTCTTCCTCTTGTCCTGCTCCGTCGGTGGCTCCTCATCATCGCTCAGCTTGGGCTCCTCCAAGTGGCTCATCAGCATGCAGCTGCAAGCAAAACATCATTCAGTCCCATATTAAGCGCACATTAAAGTGCACAGTTGGAGGACGATTTCATAAAAAGGCGGAGAACACACACAGATATAAAGGCTTAACCCTCTGGCACTCCACTACACTGTTCAAATGAGCTCATCTACATTCACCACAACCTTTGGGAGTATATATTTTGTGTGTCCTTGTCACCCCTTACTTATTGCAAGAAATGAATATGGTTTTCAATAGGCGTATGTTCACTGGAAAGGTAGGTCACAAGAATATATTACTTTTAAGTGGTGAAAATACCAAGAATAAGAATATTATGTGTACCAGAGCAGTCACTTATTTCCTGTGGCTCCACAAGTGAAATTCAGTGGCATAAAACACCACCTGTTGTTTGAAATAAGAGAAATAATCCACAGCAGAGCTTTTCTTGTAATACATGTTAATTAATGGTATTGCAATTATTGAGGCTGAAACAAAACACAATTCCAGGTATGATTTTGAAAAGGAATCAAAATTAAAACACAGCTCAGAAAATAGTGTAATATAGGCCCTTTAAACAGTTGCTATCAATGTCATTCTTTGTTATTCAATTACTAGTAAAAGGCTTTCCCTGCCAAAACGCATCAAGTTAAACATTGTCGGGACAGAGGCAATAGAGGGAACAATGCGATGGCAAAAAATTCAAATGAAAAGACTATAATTTTGCCTGAGATCCACTGTGATGGCATTATCCTCTGCTGTCACTTTCGATAATAAGACAGAGGATCTAACTCATAAATATTTAGGCTGGATATGAAGCACAGCAGGGGGGAATAACAATCGCACACGTTAGCAGCTGCCTGGGCCTGTCAGATCAGGTCTCCATGACAGGGCCCTTTAAAGCAGACGGACAAGCATCTGTGGAGAGTGACAGATCTTCAGAGGAGAGGAGCAGCTCAGCCTGGAGGGACAGGGGTGTAAGGAGGACAACACAGCCCCCTCCTCCCCTCCTACCTGAGATTTAAAGCCACAGAGCCAAGGTTTAAAGTCCAATTTAATGTCCCCGTAGGGAAATTTGTCCACTGCATTTGACCCATCCTTCAATGCCAATGGGGCAACCTGTCAGGAGCAGTGCCACGGTGCCGTGCCCAGGGATCCATCTTCAGATCTTGAGCTTGGCTTGGTCTGGATTACAATAGCTGGAGGATTTTAGCCAAGATGCATGTTTCGATTTCATTAAAAGATTTACTTCATAAAGATTTCATATTATGTTAATTACACTTTTGGAGCCCCTAACCTTGGTAAGATGTGAAACAAATGCAAAAACACATGAATTACTTAGTTGTTTCTTTCATGTATGTTTAAATACACCCTCTCCTTCTGATAAAAAAAAAATCTTTTCTTTTTTAATTTGTGAAATGCAGTAAGTTCCAGCGTTACTATTCAATGTGATAAACCAAGAAATGTCAATAGTCAGGAGCTCCTATGCCCATCAAAATTACAATAGAAGAAAAACACTATGCATCTTCACCATAGATATATTGTATGCTGAGTTGAATTATTACTTGTAGAAATGGACAGATAGGCATTTTTCATAGTCAGTGTCAATACCGATTGTTTAGAATCCAGTGGAGTCGATGGCTGGTGACCTCTGCTGATTTCTGGGAGTCGATTTAGGTATTGTTTTTCCAAAATTATCAAATATTTATTTAGTACACAACCTTCTTTTACTACAAACTGTATAGAGTCTAGAGTAGTCACATTTTTGCAGTACCCTCTTTGGACATACACTGGTCAAAAGTTTTAGAACATCACACTATTTCCATTTTTTATTTTTAATTTTTTTTTTCTGTTTACTGTTGACCAAAATATATTCTAAACTTTTGCTTCATGAAAGTGTCCACCTTTGGCAGATATAACAGCTGAACACACTCGTGGCTCATTCATTTTACAATAGAAATCAAATATTCTTCAGAAAGTTCTTCCCAAGGCTGTTGCAGAAGTTCCCATAAATGTGTGGCACTTGTAGGTTGATTGGATTTCACTCTTCTGTCCAGTTCATCCCAAAACCAGCTCAATGGGGTTTACGTCTGGAGACTCTGCTGAACACTATGTTTTCAAGCTTTACCGTCTTGTTCTCTTTTCTTGAGGTAGTTTTGGCAAAGCTTGGACTTGTGTTTTGTTATCTTTTTTTTTTTTTTTTTACCTCTAGTTGTTCAGTTCTTACCTTTGTACCATTTCAAGCTCTTCATTGGACTTGCACAACTTGAATTGGAATAAATAACTGGAAAAATGAGGGTGTTCTAAAACTTTTGACTGGTGGTGTAAGTGTTCAAACAAAGCAGGCATATTTAGGCTGCTTTTAGGGTCAAACTAAATATCGACCTCTGCTGGAAATTTAAGGCTGATAGCTGAGACACCAAAAGGACAAATATCGGCCCATACATTAGTCTATCTCAAATTGATTGTGAACTGTAGTAAGGCTTATGTAACCGACATGGATTACAGGCTGAACAGTTACTTTATTTCGGCTTTAATGACCATTTGGATGCAACAAGGCCATTTTAGGGTGTCTGGAAAAGTACAATAAGTAAAGAGTAAAAAATAAGGTTAACTTTGAAATGAAATGTCTCCAGGCTAATTATGCTAATGAATTTAAGTACCATCTTCAGTCAAACCCTTTTTGGTTCACAATAAAAAAAAGCAAGATAAATTATGATAATCTACCATTAAATGTAATAAGAATTTCCCATCATTCTCTGTTCCAATCAAATAACAATTTTAAGACATCAATGTAATTATAATGTATTATGTAAAAGTTTTGTTAGTAATAAGAGTTTTGGCTCTCAAGCAAATTATCCAATCAAAAACTAGACCGAACTTCGTACTTTGGGTTGCCACATCCTCCAACTAAAACTAAAAGTGAAAAGGGCTCTCAGTATAAAGTCTGCTGTGTTTACGACAGCTATATTCTAGGTACAGCAGTGAATTTGTGCTGCAATCTTAAACCAGTACTAGGAGGGTATATTGTAGCTATTACCTCTCAATCTTACTGTAAAATGTGTGCATCTTCTATGAGTTTTTTTCTTGTTACAGTAATATATTTTGATGTGAGAGCTACTGCGTCCAACTGTTTTCCCTTGCAGATCAATAAAGTTTGTCTAAGTCTAAGTTATGTGAAGAGAAAAACCTGAGTAGTTCTTACTCTTTATAGGTCCCTGTGTCTGGGTCCTCCGTCATGACGTCGTGCAGCGCCTCCACTGTGATGTTGATGATGCCACAGAACTTGTCTTGTACCACTCTGCAACACACAAACACAGAAAAGGTCATGAGGTATAGTTACATGGTTAAAAATGCACTCAATTACAAGTACAAGTTGTGTTGCCAAATTTGTACTTAATAGTGCAAGGTGTAACGTTTGTGGTGGAGGGTCGGCCATCTGATTATCTTCAACGAGATGCTTTACCGTTTGCCTGGAATGTTCCACAGTATTTAAACATATACAGTGGCCCCTCGTTTATCGCGGGGGTTACAATCTAAAAATAACCCACAATAGGCAAAATCCGCAAAGTTGTCAGCTTTATTATTATATACGTTTTAAGGCTGTAAAACCCCTCACCACACACTTTATACACTTCCCTCAGACATGACAGTTACAACCCTTTTTGCATCCTTCTTAAAACTTATATCTGCTGTCGTCCTTATGTTATGTTCCTCCTTCTTTATGTAACGAACGAAGATTGATTTATTCCGTAATGGCGCCCTACAGCCGTGTAACTTCTACCTTCTTTCAGCGTGTCCAGAAGTCCAACTTTTTGTGCAATGGTTAGCATCTTTCTCTGCCTTTTGGGTGCGACCGCAGGAGAAAACTTGCAAACATACAGCACTGAATCACACTGCTAGTGATTGAACATTTATGTAAACTTGTCAAGCTGAACACATTCTGTACTGTACTGGAGACACGGCACGGGGGAGACTGATTGACAATGGTCTACAGTCCCTTAGCCAATCAGGACGCAGAGGGAGGAAAACACTGTTTAAAAAAAAGCATGCAAAACAGTGAGGCCGTGAAAGGTGAACTGCGTTATAGTGAGGGACGACTGTATATCTCAATGGAGACAAGTAAGTGACACTGCCAGGTCATGTTATGGGTGAGATCTGTGGAGAATGGATCTCGCTGATGTTTTTCATGGTATTTATGAGCAATAAAAACATTTGTAATTGAATAAATGTATGATAGATAAGTTTAATGGCATACTGTGGAACATTCTGGGCAAAGCAATAAAATCTCCATGGAGACAAGCAGGTGATGGACCGCCTGAATGAAATGTTCTACAGTGCACCTTTAAGTAAAATGTATATAGAATATAGTATATATTTATCTTTTACAATTTAGTAGCACTTAATATTTTAGTCTTTTGCACTACATTTACATAATTAAGTTGTTTTAATTCTGTTCTGATTAGTTCTGGCCAATTAGAGCAGGTGACAGAATTTGACCATTCCTAAACGACACCACATGATAACGTAAAATAGTATTTTGTGTGGATTTTTTTTTAAACGTCATTGAATTCTGTATTTTTAGGCTTATTCCTTCCAAAATGAAGTTTGAATTTTTTTGTATCATAAAAAGTACATGTTTTAAAATCGACTCAAAAAAGTAGAGCTACCCAAAAAAATCCAATAACTCTTAAATTTATAAACAGTTGTGTTCCCCTTTGCAAATGTGCCCAGGGAGCTGCGCAGCTGCTGAACCATACGAGCACGTGCCTCAGAAAAGCACCGGTTTGTGTTGGACAAACCTGGAGCAGTCACTTTGATAAAGTGCCTGTCAAATGAAACACATGGCCGTCCACAGCAAAAAGCTCTAAGTGCCATTCATCACCAGAACCAACACAAGTCCACCATGTTCCACTCACAGAATTCTCACCAGCAATATTTCCTCCTCGGCTCGTGACATTTTTACGACTGCTCGGAATTACATAGACAGGATTTTTTTTTTTTTTACACATTTCAGTAAAACGGAGTTATCAATTCATAGCATATTGTCACTGGAATCATTGTAAAACTTAAACGCACAGGGGACATAAAGGGAGATACTATACACTAATTTTTTGGCAATCTTTGTTAAGCCCGAAGCGTAAACAAGTAAAGAAATGGCATGGTAAAAAGTCAACAGGCAAAAGCTCAAATAGATGACATCTTTAAATTAAAGTATGTAAAGATTACTGTTAAAAGAAGAAAAAAAAATCACAACTGAAAGCCCCATGTTAAAGCTTTAAACCTCCAGAATTCACTCACTGAGCTGCAGAGGCTGCACTAGCACTGATTAAAGAGTCAATATTATGTTATCTTCTGATCTATGTTATAATGTTGGGACCTCCTATTTGTTGGTGGGGATATGAGCACCTGGGCTGGCAACCATTTTGTTATAGGTACTGTGGGCCAAAACAAGAAAAAATATCTGATGAAGGCTTTTTGCCGAAATGTACTTTATTAAAAAAAAAAAAAGCTTTTGGACATCGGCCGTCTGAGTGTGCTATGCATGTTTTTACTTTTAAATTGTTCCTTGCACCCCTACAAGAACTTTGGTGTACGTTTTCTGTTTTGTTTGATAGTTGTTTCCTCATCACAAACGTATCTGGAGTTGTGGTTTGTTTCATTTACACGTTTAACACACGATCCCTGCATACTTAGTTCTTCTCTCAAAAAAAAAAAAAAACTCTGTTCCACCTTGTGGTAATACCGGAAGTGCTCCACTGTGTTTTTAAACTCCATACACCTTTACTAGAATGATTTGGATAATTTAAGCCATGGAAATGTGAATGTCTACTGAACAAAAGGTAAAAGGTAGCTGTTAACTTGAAAACTACCACTGGATGACATCACAACATGGAACAGAGCATTTTTAGCTTTGGAGATGTAGACAGACTAAGAATAAAGTGCTACTCAAACATGTGTGAATGAAACAAAACACAACTCCAGGTTTGTTTTTGAAGAGGTTACAACATTATAACATGGCTTAAACCTCACAAGAGTCAGTTTTGCATAATATAGAAGCTTTAATGATTGGCTGCAGATGCTGAGGGTTGAGATAGTGAGGATTCAGATCAGAGAGGCGTTTGGCAACCCAAATAAGAGAGTCATGTACAATGTTTTTTGTAATAAATCAGCATTAAAATTCTTATCAGAAAATGCCATATTTGATTTGAACATGTTTACCTCATATCTGGGGAAACAGATGGGCAAGTTTATGAAATTTTAAATAAAAGGTGGCTTCAACTTTGTAGTACATTGGAGGGGTAAGTAATAATATTGGTGAAATTTGTAGCACACAGACAGTTTTAAAGGCCCTGTACTTTACTTTTATTTCTTCTAGTTCAGGAAAATGCCCTTTTGTCATAAAGTGTATTGTAAAAGCAGATATTTGAAGGAATAAATTAGACACATAACAAAAGTGGCATTTTAACACAGATTTTTTGTCAGACAAGAACAATGCCAAGGACACTCATTTTAGTCCAGTCAGACACATTGTTGGATGTGGAAACAACAGCCTGTAACTATCCCGGTTCATTGTTTCTCTGTCATGGTTTGACCTTGGGGAGGAGGACGAGACTAAGTGGGCGGGTCTAAAAGTTTATTCTGCAACATGTTCCTCACTTGTAATTTAAAATTGGGTGCAGGACCTATAATTTGCGGATTATTGCTTTGTTTACTCAGTCATCTTGCATTAAGGAAGCAACCAGATGACAAAGAGAAGTCCCCTCCTCCTGACAGGTTGTCCCAGAAGCATTGAGGGATGGCTCAAATGCAGAGGACTAATTTCCTTATGGGGACAATAAAGTGTACTTTAACTTTGAGTCTGAGACAGTATATTAAAGCTTCCTATTTTCTGATCTCTGTTGTAATGTTGTCTCATCACAAACATACCTGGACAGGTGTTTTGTTCCATTCACACATGTTTAACACACAAACCCTTCATACTGAGGCTGAGTTCTTCTCTCAAACAGAAAATGCTTTGTTCCAGCTTGTGATGTCATGTGGTAAAACAGATGCTCCAACGTGTTTTCAAACTCCATACACCGTCACTAGAATCATTTGGATTATTTCAGCTTTGAAACTGCCACTTTTTACTGAACAAAATGTAATAAAAAAGACAGCCGTTAACTTGAATACTACCACTTCATAAACATCACAAGGTGAAATAGAGCATTTTGCAACTCCAGATATCTTTTTGATAAAGTAACAACTTTATAACATCAACCCTTTATTACAACAACCTGAAAAACCTCAAATTGCAAGTGATGAAATCAGAGAAAATCCATTAACGAAATGCGGTTTTGTATTTTATTCATTGTTTTGAAAAACCTTGGGAGACCTTGAGATAGTCTCTGGAGACTGTCAGCACTCATTGATAAATTATTTGAGTCATCATTTGAAAGAGCGCTGAAGAGTGGCTTTCCCCTTGTCGATAGGAATAGAAAGCAGTGAATACAAAGCCAATGTGTTATAAAAACATGTTTGTGTGTGTGTGTGTGTGTAACTGGGAGCACTGACGCATCAAAGGCTGGCTGTCAGATCAAGTCCTCGCCTAGGCTGACCCCCGGCAATGTTACGCAAAGTTCAGCGAGCATGAAGTTGAGAAAAATGACAAAAAAAAGGAAAAATAATAAATCAGTACTTGACAGATGCTCACATGGCAAACTTTCGCTGGGAACCTTTGCAGAGACTAAAGGAGATTTGACCACAGGGACCAGCGGATAGACCTACTCTCACAGATTTTATTGCACCCTCAGGAGGGTCAGTTTTTCAAGTTCAATTCTAATTTTATTTTTGTCACTTTTGATCATTTTTCATCGTTGTCAGGTTCATAATGACAGATGACTCTTCACAGCTTCTCAGATCAAGTCAAAAATAAACTTCGGAAAGCCATGAGGACTAGACTGGAGGTTTGAATCTGCTCCTGAACACAAGAACACAAGATTTTGAGGCAGACTAAAGGCAACGTGCCACTTTTTGTCTCATCAATTTTAGGCTGGTTTAACTTAGTTCATTTTGTTGTTGTTTCATAATCTTTTGTATGCTTTTCCAGAGATTCAGAGCTTGTTCAATAGCTGCAGTTTTAAAGGTCATATATTACACAAAACTGATACTTGTGAATTTTAAGTCATGTCATAATGTTGTTGCCTCATCAAAAACATACCTGCAATTGTGTTTTGTTTAATTCATATATGTTTGAGTAACTCTTCATTATTAGGCTACGTTCAGACTGCAGGGCTTAATGCTCAATTCCGATTTTTT